AGCTTCTATTATTCAACATAATTTTCTGTAGACAGTCTTTTAGTGTTAGCCAGACAAGTCTTACCTGAAACTCTTCACAGCAATATCTGTGTCTATCAAAACCTATCTAGATTCCCAAGTTTATGCCCTCCTACTCTTCAAAAAATGTCCCTTAGAAACAAGATGACAGGTTCTCTTCAGGCTAGTGAACAAACCTTGGACTTCCTAGTGACAGCCTCAGGAGACATGGAGACAATGTGCAAGCCCTTGGAAGTTTCACACACTATTTTCCTCGTGTTCTCTTTGAAGAGCTTCACCTTTTGCGATAACATATTGTATTCGTGCATAAATTCATATCCTAGGCAAATTTCTGCTACAGATTTAACCATTATTTTTGCCTTATCCAGTCCATCCTCTGAATAATATTGTATATATCAAACTGAAGGCACTGTGAGGAATATTTCAAAGTCATTTCTATGTGATACTAGTGACGAGAGGAACAACATATTAGTGTTTAGAACACCAATTTAGGTACGTTTAATGCTCTGAAAAGAATACTCTTAGAAGACAATGTCAAGAGGCCTTCTGGTATATCCTTCCAGCTTGTAATTTAATGTAACCATACAAAAGTTCAGTATAAAAGTATCAAAATGCACTGTTTTTATAAATCAGGCATTACTCTCAAAAAAAAAAAAAGAAAAATGTAATTCCTCTAATTTTCTATTGCTGTTTAATATTATAACTAGTATGCAACTAGCAGATTGGTGCTGTAATGCTCTAATTTAAATGCTGTTTAAATTACTAGCTATAAAAATTATAAACTTCAAGATTGAGCAGAGAAATCCAAAGCTAAACCATCAGAAATCAAATACCCATGTTGAAACAATCAGCAAAATGTAGGGAAGACTTCTAGGCACATTTTAGGGCTCCTAACTTAATGATATAAAAATCAAAAACATTTTAGTATAATTTACTAAACAATTTAATTTTCAATTTTTCTTGCGGTGCCCTAGTCCGAGATCAGTTTAAATGCCTGCTGCAGCTAGGTAGAGACTCAAGGGTATCAACCCATGGACCAGTAACTCCACTAATGGGCCATCAACATGTGAGTCTGGCTTCAAAAACACTGTGACTTAGAGCAGAGAAAAAGTAACCCCCATTTGTAAGATTATTCTCAGAAGTCAAATTTTATTTACAAACTTCACCATCTGCATTAGTGTGACAAAAGCAGGGAAGGTGAGGTGACAATCGCTTCGTATTGAGAATTAACAAGTGCGTGCATGTATCAGGAAGTGGCTTCACTTCCCACAGAGGAATTCACGCCACCTGGCAGTTTGTGTCTGAAGCATACTCTGGATATCCTTGTAACACAGGACAGATAGGTAACACAAACAAACAATTTTTTGTGTACTTTTTTATTGTTTGGAACACCAAAGTAACCCAAACTTTACATTTACAATTAACTTTTTAATAAATACGCTGTACATAATATTAGCAATACATATCATACAACGGATTTGAAAGGCAAACATAAATGCTCATACAATCAAAGGGATGAACTGAATTGCCACCATCTTCTCTCCGAGATGACTGACAACTGTAGATGTCATCTTTAGGTTTGACAAAACCACTACTGATTTCAGCTACTTTGGCCCATGAGATGCTAACTAAACACAGTGTTCTTTAAAATCAAATAATAACGAATACTTGTTGTATGCCTAGTCGTTTATTATTTTCAAATGATGAGCATTATTCAAAGAATCAAAATATTTTTAAAAATATGATGGAAGCTTATGTTCTTCCAAATTCAATTTACTGAGGGGGGAGGTGTGCACCTCAGCTCAGCTCTAGAAACAGTAAAGTTACCTACAAACTAACACCTAAACTCAAATCTGATGACAGAAATCAACAGCAGCACCAGGCACTTCACTGTCTTCCTTCCCATTACAACTAGTCCTCAGTGTGAAATTTTGATCGGCTTAACATTTGACAGGCTTGTGTCGCTTCAAAAATACCGACACACTGCAAGAAAACTATTTGGTACCTACTATGTAGAGACCTTCAATACTGAGTTGTGCTAATAAGTAAAATGCTGCTATGATTTAACATATTTTCTGAATAAGTCAAACAATGGAATTTGATTGCTTGTGATCTGGTCTTATCTTCCTTCAAATGCACAAGCAACTATACAAAGACTATTGTTCCAAAAATCTTGCTTTCTCCTTGAGAGCAAACCAGAGCTTATAATGAGTCAGAGCTCAGCAGTGTCATCACAGACTGGAGTATAAACACTTGTTTCTAGATGTCCTAAGCACACCTATGGCATTTCTTACCTGTGATAGCACCCACTGTTCACTAAATGCCTCCCAGGTGGCAGTTTTGTATGTTAGCCACTGAATCACCACCACACCCTGGCGTGTCGATGCCATCGTATCCCCTTTACAGACGAAGAAATGGGACTTCAGCATTAGCCTCTAGAGGTTTAAGGTGTTCTGGTCAACACAGCATCTCCTTCTACAGACTTACAGTACACATTAGAGCACCAATAAGAGAGGGAGCATCTAGTCTCCGTGCTCCCACAGGAGGATTACACCGGCAACCAGCTCCCGGTCCACTGTGATACCATAATGTGATTCTTGCGTTCCCAAGTGGTGGAACTGTGATTCTTTTGTATAAATTCTCCTTTATTTGCACACACACAAAAACAAAACAACAACAACAAAAAAGGAAAAACATCTCACTTGAAAAAAGCTCACCCTCTCAAGCAGGCAGAGAGGTATGGGTGAGAACTTATTGAAATTTACTGGTGACAGGTATGTCCAAGGAATACTGCAGGGGTCGGATTCCTTTTTGACTCTTGTGACAGATGGCAGTATGAGATGGCAACTAAAGGCAAGAGAAGAATGCTGGAAGGGTGGGACTGTGAGGGACTAGGGCCACCATGCCAGAAGCCTTGGAATGAGCACAATGGCAGCTCAGGGGAGAAACCCATTCACCTCTTCAAAGGGCTTGCTTTACTACAATGTAAAAATCAGGTCAAGAATATTTTCATATTAGACCTTTGTATTAATAAGAAAACCAAAACTCATTTCTCTGAAAGGTCAAGATTTATGTGACCATTTTTTTTTTTTTCAAGATTTCTTTCTCAGAGACAGGGGCTTGCTACGTAGCTCAGGCTGGCATCCAACTCAAGATCCTTGGACCTCAGCCTCCCGAGTTCTGGGAACACAGTGCCACAAGGCCCAGCACGTTTCCAGATGTTTCCTTCTGTTAACTGGAACTAGACTATTTCATGTTAGTTTAAAGAATTGATTTTAATAAAATAGTTTCTGTTTTTACTTTGATTCAAATTTTAAACCTTCCAGAATTTGAATAACCCTTCATTTTCCAATTTATATTTTCTAAGTTATAGACAAAGATAACCAAAATCAAAGAGCCCACATTAAAAGTCTCCCATTTCCCTATCCCACCTCACTTATGGAATCAGTGAGCTCTCCTGTGAGCGAATCCACAGAAAGGTGTGTGAGGTAATGAGAACACTTCAGTGCTCCTCAGCAATGTTGCACATGCCAAATTAACCTTGACTTGTTTCACTTGTTTCATGTTGGTTGCAAAGGTTAAAGTGTCTGTTGGGTGATAGTAAGAAATAGATAGAAACAGGTACTCACTCCAAACAGGACTACTTACAAGCAGTAGCTAGCAAACTCTTGCAGATCATGAAATCTTTCTACTCATTCAGTGAAGTTATGAAGTCCAAAGAAAATGACAAATACACACAATTTTGTAACAGTTCAAGGAGCCTAACAACCACGGCCCTTGGACAAGATTCTCTTCCAAGGCAGAGACGTGCATAGGTGGAGAGGGTGTGTAGGAAAGGGCCAATTAGAAAACTACATCAGATACTTGTACAACTACACTAGAAATACAAAAAATAGCTGTAACCTAGTGAGGTCTGGCAATGTTGTTTTTCCTTATTTCCCAGTCCAGTGGTGTGTCCTTCCATGCCATCCCCATACAGTGCAAGCTTTGAACCAACCCTTCATTAAACAATTCATCTCCCCAAATCCTCCTCTAACAAACAGTCCTTCCTCTGTATACTAAGGAAATTAAAAGTAAATTCATTATGTACACTAAAGAGCAGTCCTAACTTCACCTTAAAAAGAAATTGGCATTTTTCACTACTTATGGGGTACAAAGTAAAAACTTCAATCCAGAAGATTTTTGTATAAAGTGAAGTGCTCTACCTGAAACCACTGTCCCACAATCCTACATCTCAGGTCAGCAAGAGTCTTTCCTAAAGCAAGATTCTGAAAGCAAATGTGCACACACATACACTCTGAAAATAAAAAGGACCCATACAGAAGCATTAACTTCCCATTAGGAGAATCAAATATGAACTATACTTGGTGATATCACTTCAAATACAAATTTTTAACTTAAAAGATGGTTATCATAAAAACTATTGATGTACTTAATGTAACTGAAGCAAACTAGAGTACACCCTCACAAGGATAACTGGGAAACCTCCAGGCTGTACCTCCCTTGACTGCAACGATGTGGCTGTGGGAAGGAGCAGCTCCAGCAGAAGGAAACCCAGGAGCCGGTGAGAATGGCCTCAGCTCTAACCTCACTGTACATCCCTCACACAGAAAACAACACCAGTCTGTTAAGATTATCATAGATGATGGACTTGCCAGTCTATATATTAAAAAAAAATTTCCAGGATTTTTAGAGGAATAAGAACAGAGAATTATATATGAGAAACCAGCTGCTCAGAGCTGAAAGTCTGGAATCATGTTAAGAACATATAACCATTTCTTTCATAGAAATTACTTTAATTGATTTTTTTTGTATCAAATTAACATGTGCAGATGAAAATGTTTTGCTGAAGACAACTGGGCCATAATGGCACCCATGAAGATGTCTCCTGGTAAAGTGGAACTGCACAAACCATTTAAGATCTTCCAAGCCAAACTTGAAGGGGCAAAAAAAAACTAACAACAAAAAAATAATTAACTTACCAAGAAGTGAAACAGGCTGGGTTACAGGAGGGGTAGGCAGACTCGTGGGTGCAGCAGGTGGCACAGCAGAGCCATACATTTTCGCACTGTCACCAGACTCGGCGTTTCCTCTAGCCCCAGACACCACTGTTGGAATGGGATTTCCAATAGATAAGTCTTTTGTAGTGTCTTCATTTATACCAGCGATAGCAGCTAAGGAATATAATTACATTGACATGTGAAGCTGAGTAAGAGGTATGTTTCCAGTCAACAACCTTTAACCAGACTACAGACCCTACTATGTGCTCACTTCCCCTCCTACCCCAACTCCAAGACATCAAGCCAACACAGAGGAAAGACATGCTTACAGTTCGGGATGCTTATTGGTGGAGTGTGAGGAGGAGGAATGGATACTGGTGGAGTTATAGGAGGTGGGGGTCCAGGAGGAAGAAAACCTAGGGCAAGAGAAATCAGGTCAATGCCTTCTGCTCATTTTATCAAGAGCCCCAAACTGTCGGTAGTCTCAGCTGTGCCAGTGTACCTGGTGGTAAATGCATCGGGTTGAATCCTGGGCGCAAAAATGGTGGTGGAGGAGGAGGAACGCCAGGGCCAAAGCCTGGAGGGGGGATTCCTAAGGGAGGTGTGAAAGCAGGTGGCTGGAGAGCACCAACTACAGGAGGGCCCGGTTGATGAGGTGGGACCTGGAAAGAAAAGCCAAATACATATCTAGCTACTCTCAAATACAGTGTATGTGCACCAAGAAAATAAAAGCAGTTATTTTTAAAATTTTATTATACCACTACATTTATTAGATTAAAAAGATGGTAGGTAACCTGTGCCTACCTAAATGCTATAAATCTAAGCTCTGCTTCTCCTGTGAGTTGGCCATTTACACTGCATTTCATTGGGTTCTACCGGTGTTCTGACAGCATAGGAGACATTTAAAAATATTCTAAGGCAGAATTGTTTAAAAATTGGAAAATACAAGTCTAAGAAAGAACAGCTGACAACTTATGTAGTAGGCTAAGATAAACAATGTTCAAATCAAATTACTAGTGGTTCTGGATTTCAATATCTAAGACACTCTAAGTCAGGGTACTGAGTCATCCAAATAACACTTGTGAAACAATCTAAATTAATTGTTTTATTGACATTCATGAAAAAAGTTGTTCAAAAATAGAGGTGATATATCAAAATGTGAAAAATTAGTATTCACTTTTAGACAGAACAGTAAGATTTAAAAAGCAACCTTTCAGACCCTTAAAGTTTTAAATCATGTTCTTGACAGCCCTACCTGTGGAGGGGGCACTGTGATAGGTGCAGGAACAGGAATAGGAGGGACAGGCACAGGCAAAGGCTTAGGTACGGGTGACACTGGATCTGTGTGGGAGGCTTCTGCACCTCCATTTTGAGCAACTTCATTTTCAGACTTCTTGGGGATGCCTTTCCAATCTATGAATGTAACAGGAAACGTTTAGCATTTTCACTTACAACTTTAAATATAGAAATGAACATTGAAAATTAGAAAATAACAGCTTCATTAAAGAAATCCCTACACTAATTTTCAGTAATTATTCAAATTGACAACAGAAATATGTAAGCAGAATGGATGAATCCAGACACATCCACTTCTAATGCCTGTCTTCTCAGTCTCTCCCTAACACTAAAAAAATACTGAAGACACCCTTCTGGTGTGGGATTCCCCTTTGTGTGCTGTGATTACCATTAATGAATAAAGAAACTGCTTTGAACCTATAGCAGAGAAGAACTTAGATAGGTGGGGAAAACTAAACTGAACGCTGGGAGGAAGAAGGTGGAGTCAGGGAGAAGCCATGGAGCCGCTGGTGATGCAGGTTAATAGATACGGGTTAAATTAAGATGTAAGAGTTAGCCAATAAGAAGCTAGAGCTAATGGGCCAAGCAGTGATTTAATTGATATAGTTTCTGAGTGGTTATTTTGGGGCTGAGCTGCCGGGCAGCCAGGAAAACAAGCTAGCAGCCTTCTTATAACACCCTTCCACCATCTTCTAGGCAAGAAAAAACATTTTGCATTCTGGGGCTTAACTGGGGCATGGTAGGCTCATCTGCCTGAAGAGAAATCTAGCTCCTCCTACATGAAAACATGCATTATCCAAGGGGGTGGGCACTTTAGCATCATCACACCACTTTCCCTCCTTCTGGTGGTCAAGTTAACACTTCTTAAACATCCATTATCTCCACCACAATCTTACTAATAACCCAGCACTCATAATATTACTATCCACAAACAAATCAACTTCCTGGTCCAATACATGTGTGTGAATGTGTGTTTTCTTGGGATGCTTAACTTTCTCAAAAGACCTATTATAAAACATGAATTGAAACATAATACAGAGTTGAGCATCACCACAAATATCTGGGGTCAAAGTGGGGCTTTAAACACTTGTATCTTACTGGTAAGCATCTCTAATCAGTGTCTGCACCCTGAAATGCTTCTAGTACTCAAAGGGCTCTGGTTTTACAGGTATCTCCTGATTCTCAGTCTATACCACTGATGTGCAACTGGAGTCTAAGCAGTCCATTTTTAATGCAAAGTTCTAATTATTAAGTCTAACAGTCAGGATTTAACCAGGGTCTGTATTTTATGCTAACATCTTAGACAGATAAAGGTTACCGTATCTTCAATTAACAGTAGAGAGACTAGCTTATACCTGGAACTTTAAGATCACCCAAAATTCTTCCTAGTGCAAAGAATAAAGTTGTTTGTTACACGACCATGAACTGTGAAAGAAGTTAAACATTGTTTTACCTGGGTTAAGTGTGTCACTGTCCAACATTCCTCCTTCACAAAAACTCTCCAGCTCCTCAGGTTTGACTTTGTCCCACGGGACATAAGTAACACCCAATTCAACATCCCAATACTGCTTATAATCTGCCTTTATTCCTTTGTTTAAGGCCCAGGCAATCTATAACCAGTGAAAATACACAAAGAAAGGAAAAGGAAAGTGGGTCAGAAGTCTTCAGAATTCACATCCCCGTCACTCTACTCATCTGAGCAATGCAGGCAGTGAGCACCCTGGACTGCTGCCCCCGTATAGCACTTATGTTAGTGGCTCTTCTGTCTTCTCATTTTGCCTCACGATAGAAATCTCTTCACACCCAGCAGAGCCGGCATACAACAAAGAAAAAGTTCATCAAGAAGAAGCCCACTGCACTGTAGACCACTCAAGGTCTACAGATATGGCAACATCTTTTTACAGTATACACCAGGGTAGACGAAGGTGCTAACACAGGGTAACACTGAATTGGACCCCTCAGAGATGGTTGTTTGTGTGCTTGTATTTTTCTTTATGTCTGTCGATATTTTTACCAGTTAATTCAACGGAGAGATGGCAAACCTTAAGTTGTGGAACATTCACGTTTTTAAATAAAAAAATTTACTAGAAAATATTATCTTTAAAGCTCCAGTTAAAGCTAGATAGATGTGGTATTGCATGCTGTAATCCCAGTACTTAGATGAAGGAGGATTAGGAGCTGAGTTCAAGGCCAGTCTGAGACCTGTTTCTAAACGACACAAGAACATAAATATGCTGGCCGGAGGCAGTGACAGAGTGCTTATCTAGCCTACATTAAGATCTTGGTTAAATTTCTAGCCTGCAGACATACACACAGACAGAATATTGTATACATAATAAATAAATAAATATTAAAAAAAAAAAAAGAATTTTATGTTAGCATCAGGTGGTGGCAGTGCACACCTTTAATTCCAGCACCTGGGAGAAAGAGGCAGGTGGATCTCTGTCAATTCAAGGCCAGCCTGGTCTACAAGAGGGAGTTCCAGAATAGGCTCTAATGTTAGAGAAACCCTGTCTTGACAATCCAAGGAAAAAAAGTTATGTCAGCTTAACAATAAAATGACTCCTAATGGTATTCTTGTATATCCACAGATCAGTGCCTTGCTAGGCCATCACCAGAGAAGCTTCTTGCAATTGATGGGAGATAACACAAAGACCCAGAAGTCCTAAATGGGAAGCTTCATCAATACCCCTCAGGGCTCAGGGAACTATGTGGAAGAGAAAAATGAAGGATATTAGAGACTCTAGTTCAAGCCAGCACTGAGAAAGGGAAGCAGACGTGGCTCCCACCTCTAACCAAGAAGTCATCTGCAATTGAAATCTTCTTACAAAGGAAAAACCCTTTTCTAAGGGAGTCTCCCTAGATGTAGTAACTTCAGGGGAGGCCCCACGCCCAGCAGTGGATGCCAACACTAAACAAGTTTGGGTTTATTTTTTGGGGGTGGGGGTGAGGGAACTTGGTCTTCAGCTGCTTTGTTGGGCATTTCTGTCTCACTGATCTTTTGCTTGTGTGTTTTGGATTCTGCATCTATGGAGTGTATGATGTTTTCTGTGCTTCCCCTTTGGGTTGTTGCTTGTTTTTTAAAGAGAGAGGGTATGGAATTGGGGGTGGGGTAGGATCTGGGAGAGAAAAGCTTGATTAGAATACACTGCATGAAAAAAAAACTTTCTTAATCAAAAAGAAACTAAGGAAATTGTCACATAAAACTGTATGTCAACTAATGTGCAACTGCTTTTAGGAGGATTTTCGAGACAGGGTTTCTCCGTAGCTTTTTGGAGCCTGTCCTGGAACTAGCTCTTGTAGACCAGGCTGGCCTCGAACTCACAGAGATCCACCTGCCTCCGCCTCCCGAGTGCTGGGATTAAAGGTGTGCGCCACCACCGCCCGCCTTTTTAAGGAGGCTTTTATGACTCAGGCCATTTCCAAGCAGCAAAATTATAGTTAAAAGAAATCCCCCCAAAACTCCATATAATTCTGCATTAAACTCTTTTATAAATGATAAAAATGTACCTTTATGGATTTCTGGTTCACTTTATAGTTTCCCCGGCTCAGTTTCTGCAGGGCACGGTATGCATCCTGCCTGTGAACCATTACGATATAGGCACAACCTCTGGGAGGAATCATCTGTCCAAAATATTTCAGCATTACACAAGGCAATGACAAAAACAAAGACCCTGGCACAGACCCCAGCCAGTAGCAATAGACCCCCTCATCAGTGCACAAGAGCTCAAGGTCTTGCCAAGCACTTGCTGATTGCGAACAAAGGTGGGTGTCCCCCTCCCACCCTCAAAGACAGACCTGGAGGGTTAAACTCATTCAATTTGGTTTTAATTGAGTTGTGCAAATTCTGTTACATACTTTCCAAGAAAAACATTTTAACTTAAACATGGCTGTGCAAGAAATAACTACAGAGAATGTTAAAGTGAGCAGGAGAAGCCCAGCCTGCAGCTGCCTCCTACAAGCCTATGCAAGAGTCTCAACAAGAACTGAGCATATCTTAATCAGCACCCTTAGGGCAGTAAGTACTCACATTAATTGATTCAATAGGACCAAACTCTTCTAAGAGACTGGCAACATCCTGCTGAGTAGTCCTTTTGTCCAGCTGTCCCACCCACAGTGTGGTACTACAAACTGAAAGTAAATCAGTGATGAGAACAGTCATTTTATCCCAAGCAGAACAGCACATCATTATATGGCATTTCTACGTGACATTACAATGTCAAAGTTTAAATAGGAATACCCATTTATAAATTTTAGACACTTAAAGAGTTTAGAAAATTAGGTATTTAGAAATTAACCAGGACATTAAATTGGAAAAACAATGGTTACTTTGTGACTAGACCTAAAAATGCTCATGAAAACCCAGGTCCTAAGTAACTTGCCTGTCATTATCTGCCGGCAAAGAACAGAATGTTATAGGATAATGCTCTTTTACACTGTGAAGATGTCACTCTTGACTTGAACCTGAGTCTCTATTGCCAAGCAACCCAGCCATTAACATGTATAGGCACTCACTCCTAACCTGAGTTTTTTTATGGTGTCTCCTATGTATGAGTCTCATTGTAAATACTGATCACTATTATGAATTAAATTGTAATAGTTAATGATTTACAAAAAGAGTATTTCCAACTATACATATTTGAAAATGATGAAAATCAAGAGGTAGCACAAGCTAACATAATTTATAAACGGCTAAATCTTTATCAAAGAAGGACATAGTTATGCCAGTGGAAAGACACCTTCTTGTATAAAGAAGCACTAAGACTGTGCAGTACACAAGGAAGACATAAGGAAACACTATTCAGAATAAAACTGAATCATAATGATAAAGTTTCATTGATGGCTTTGCTAACAGTCATAAAACATCTTAACCCACACCATGAAAAGACAAAGTAAGTGTGCAGAAAGGTTCATTACTTACCACTTGCAGTTTCTGACTTGATCTGAGGGAGGCCTTTTTGTCGCCGTTCCCTCTCTTTTTCTCGATCCCGTCTTTCTTGAGATCGAGACCGAGGTGAGTGCCGGCGCCTGTCCCTGGACCGGGACCGAGAACGTCGGTGGCGGGATCTCCGAGACCTAGAGCCAGATCTAGATCTTCTTCTTTTTGGTGACCTAATACATTTTCATCAATGAGATGGAAGCACAAAGAAAAAAGGTAAACATATTAAGTTGAAAAATGAAACACACCAGGTGAATGTTTGACTCTACAAGAACTCAGTTAACAGGGACTGCATGGATATAATTCAAACACAAGTAAACATGGCTAGACCACTTGTGACTGTACTCTGTTGAACATTGCCCACAATTCCATCTGCATGATTAAGAAGCCAGTCCTCAGGGCTGGAAATACAGCTGCTACTATTACCTTCTTCTACAAATGTCTTCTCTTTAGCAATTGAAAACACACTTGAACTGTGAATACTATGACATTTCCACGTTTGTTGGCAACACTTGAACATATAACTCCTACAAAACCATATACTCACCGGCACTAAATCAACCCAGATGAAATGTAGGTGAAGAAGAGCTTTGGATCTGAAGACATTTTTACTTTTTTGAGTCTTTTGAGACAGGGTCTCATATATCCCAAGCTGGCCTCCAACTTCTGACGCCCAAAGGCTGGGATTATAGGTATATACCACCAGATCGTGAAGTGCTAATGATGGAGTCCAGGGCTTTAAGCACACTAGGAAAGCACTTTACCAAATAACTAAAACCCAAGATGGGACTAAAACAATAAAAAACAGCATTACTTTTGACGTCTTCTGCTTATGGATCAAGGGTTAACACTGTGAATATCAGGAAAACCTCAAACTAGGCATGGTGGACATATCTTTAATCCCAGGACACAGAAGACAAGGTAGGTGAATTGCTCGAAGTTGAAGGCCATCCTGCTCTACACACGCTGAGTGAGACCCTATCTATCTCAACACAAAACTAAAGAAAGCAGTATAACTGACTCTTCTGTCTCCTGACACACAGCTGCAGCTTTCCTTTAAGTTACCTGGATGCTGACCTAGATCTCGATTTTCTGCTCTCTGGCACGTGCCGCTTAACCTCTGGGATACAAGGCTGTTCTACTTCCATTTCCTTTAAAAAAAAAAAAAAAATCAGAAAATGAGAAATCTGGAAATCGTAAGGGCAAGAGGCCAAAAATCTTAGAAATACTAATTTTCTAGTCATACCAATTACTAACTAGCCACCACTGAGGGAAAAACAAAACCTTTCGACAGTATGAAAACCGAGGGGAAGTTACTCTGTACAAACGACACTTTAACAGAACACCATAAAACACTGTGAACTAAGCGCCTACACACACTAGCTTCAGCACTCACAGTTTATAGTACTGTGGTGTGCGACTTCCACTCAGCTTTTAGAACAAAGGGTTAACGAGTGCCCAAAGATCTTCAACATATTGAAAAATCAAAACAGCAGACAAAGAAGAAGGAATGTGCATATAAATCAACCCACAAACTATTACCTGCTGATGTGGTTTTTGTGAAAGGGGTTCATTTTGTGGCTGAAAAGTAGGTTGGAAAGTTGGTTGTACTGGTGGCGTTGGGGGTGGAATTCCAGGCTGCGGCATCCCAGGTTGAGCCATCCCAGGCTGCGGCATCCCAGGTTGGGCCATCCCAGGCTGCGGCATCCCAGGTTGGGCCATCCCAGGCTGCGGCATCCCAGGTTGGGCCATCCCAGGCTGCGGCATCCCAGGCTGAGGCATCCCAGGCTGAGGCATCCCAGGCTGGGCCATCCCAGGCTGCGGCATTCCAGGCTGTGGCATGGGAGGAAATGGAGGTGCAGAGAGAAGCCCAAATCCTGGCATCTGTCCATTAGGAGGAAGTGGAACCTTTCATTTTAAAAAAAAGAGTTAAATCTATTTTAAGTATCAGCAGCCTAAAGTAATTTTGAAGTTAGTTTATATAAAACCATTAAATTTTAATTAAGAAAAGCAACTTAATTTCTCTATGTCTAACTTTTCTCGAAACCACTATTACATATTCAAGTATGACATAGATGACAGGTTCTAAGACTCACAATTCTCAACAGTGATTCAAGATACTGTTTTATTTACCCAAGGTAGCAGTGTGACAGGCTAGCCCTTAGCCAAAGAGGTACTCAATTACAAATCATCTTCCTTCAACTTTTTAACAGTAAGTAAGTTTTTATAACAGAAGAAAAAAATGGCTGTAATTTCTAGATTCCTGAAAAAAAAAACAGTATTTTGTTTGCTAGGCATGATGGTATACACCTGAGTGTCATATGTTAAAGACCAGGCTTGTTTAAAATGGAATTCTAGGACAGACAGAACTACAAAGAAACAAGTTCAAAACAAAACAACAAATTAAATGGTCTTACAGTGTAACCCAGGTTGGCCTGAAACATACAATTCTTCTGTCTCAGTACCTCAAATGCTGGGACTGTGTGTTAATGTCATTCCTATGTGGGCAATTTAAAAAAGTCTACCAAAGGCTGTTTAAAATTTCAAGTAAAATTCACAATATAAGAGCAAAGAACAAGCTGACGTTTCTGCATGTACAATTCCAACACCAACTGACTGTACTCAACTAATCACGTCCCAAAATACCTTTCTATAAGAATTCAGAAATTGTTGGTAGAGGGGCTGGAAAGATGGCTCAGAGGTTAAGAGCACTGACTGCTCTTCCTGAGGTCCTGAGTTCAATTCCCAGCAACCACATGGTCGCTCACAACCATCTATAATGAGATCTCGTACCCTCTTCGGGCCTGCAAACATACAGACAGAACACTGCACACTAAATAAATGAATGAATGAATGAATGAAATTGTTGGTAGAGCTGGGCAGTGATGGCACATACCTTTAATTCCAGCACTCAGGAGGCAGAGGCAGGCAGATCTCTGAGATCAAGGCCAGCCTGACCTACAGGGTGAGTTCCAGGACTGTCAGGGATGTTACAACTAACCAGCAAACAGAAATTGGTACTAATATGTGTGTAATAAAATATCTGGCAGTATGGTCATGTGTTTTCTTCATTATCTGAACAGGCCTCCTAAATAAGCCATTAAAATCATAGTACCAACTATATGTCTTCGAATGAAAAGAATTATCTGGAAATAATAGACAAGAAAATTTGCAAGTAGTTTAAGGCTGTATCTAGGCACCCTTCCCACAGGCTATAAAGCAATGTTTCCCAAGGCTGGTTGTGCACAAAAACCACTGTAGTATTTAAAAAAAAAAAAAAAGAAGAAGAAGAAATCAAACAAATTCCATAGATTACCTAAAATGATTATAAGGTAGTGGGTGTGGGCTCTATGTCTTTAAAGTCCCCACTCCACCCCTAATGTAGATTCATAACAAAGTGAGCTTACAGAATTTAGCAAAATAAATTCGATAACCCAATCCCTAATTTCTGTTAACTCTCCAGTGTGCTATATGTTTTTGTTGCATAATACCAATGGTCTATATCACCAACACCAATGCTTAAAGTACTCCACAGCAGAGCACACAGGAAACAGACGTACAGCAAAGAAAACAGAACTGTAATGTCACTAAACTATTTTAACTAAAATATCTATTATTATAAGATGACCATGTTTATAAACTTGTAATTAAGATAAAAAGCAACTCAAAATAGTTGCCATTCCACAGCTTTCACTGGGGCTGCAGTTCTCCTTAGCAAATTACAAAGTAATCACAACGCTCAGAGGTACAAACAGGTCTCCAAAAACAGATCTTGAATTCATAAACTCAAGACATGAAAAATGCCTGTACATTGTGGGAGCTCACAAAAGCAGATCCATTTCCCCTTAACTAAAGGTCAGAGAGTCTCCTCTCCTTCGGTCTGACCCAGGGTGTGGCTACTACCAGGATGTTTTGACCTAGGGTGTGGTTATTTGATGCTTTGGGTACTGAAAAGTTAATTACTTTGTTCTTTGCATCTTGGTAAAGAAGTCTCTTGCCTCCCCCCTTCTCTTTGGATCAGGGCATATAAAGTCTTTGAGAAATAAACATGAGGCAAATCTCAGTATTTCCTAGATGCCCTCCTGGCTCTATCAGTTGTCTCTAGTCCCTTTCTTAATCCTCACGCTTCCCTCCAAGCATGGACAAATATGCTGGGCAGGACCCGCCTGGACACAGGATAGGACAAATGGCCCTCAACCTGGGGCTTAGGGGATACAGTACCTGATGGTGCACTGTATCCTGCTGCATTCCCATCATCCGAGGGGGAAACTGATCCATACTTTGATGTTGTGTGTAGGCTGTCTGCTGCATGCCATCCCCAGGATAGCCACTAAAACAAGGTGAGTACTTTAGTTACTTATTCAAAAGCACTTAAGACTCTTAGTCACATTTACATTGCAGAATGCCACTCAGGAGTCACAGGTAATCAACAAATATTGTCCAACATAAAAGCTGCACATTTAAAATTCTAACTCTGAAAAGGATACAAATTGTCTTAATATAAGTTTATAAAATAAAGACCACACTGAAATGTGTTTCAGCCCTAACTGTTACTTAGATTATGCTTTGTAACTGTTACCAACTACCAAAGAATTAAGAAGAGACTCACAATGGCACCTGTGGAGGAGGGGGCGAGGTGGCAGAGGGGACTGGCACAGCAGGAGCAATGGCAGGTGTGGCCACAGTGGGTGTAGGAGCAGCAGCAGCAGCAGAGGCTACAGCGGTGACAGCAGCATCCTCTTTCTTTGCATCTTCCACAGCTTCAGGCTCATCATCATAATCAAATCTATCAAGCAGCTTCTGTAATGTGTACGGCAATGTTCCACTTAAAATACAGACTGAGTCACCAAACCAGAAACTTTACAGAGTAACAGATGTCTGCATCAGCTACACCCCTACTACACAATGTACAGTTTCTTTTTCTCTTCTATGTCCTGAGGAGTTTGGTCCAAAGAGAGACAATTTTGACATAAATGTCACATTAGAAAAATACAATTTAAATTCTACTTTCCTTCTCCAATCATAAAAGCAATGTTTTCTTTCTGAATATTAACCGCTTATTTCATAATAAATTCAGCCATACACTTACGTATCTAAATATTTATTTACTGAAGCTTCTAGAGTTCTGTGTACATGCCAACATGTGTGTGTTTTCAGGCAGCTAGACCTATTATGTCCACAGACTGCCCAGTCAAGAATATACTAATATAATCAAAGAAAAAATTATGGTGTAGGACAGGAACAGAAGTCTCTTAGCTGTTTACCCTAGCAATTTCTTTCTCAAAACTTTACAGATTATACCAATTACCAGAAACTTTCATTAAAGCAATAAATAAGGGCTGAAGAAATGGCTCAGTGGTTAAGAGCACAACCGACTGCTCTTCTAGAAAACCGGGTTTAAATCCCAAGACCCACATGGTAGTTCACAACTGTCTGTAAATCCAAGATCTGATACCCGCTTACAGACATACATGCAACTAAACACCAATGCGCATAAAATAAAAATAATTATTTAAAAACAAACTCAAATAATCCAGAAGTTCACAAATCTAGAACAGTAATTTAAAATAAAAATAAATTTAAAAAAATAAAAATAACAGCATTTTAAGATAAAAAGTTAAAAATAACAGTAATTTAAAATAAAACTTATTGAGCCAGGGTGATGGTTAGCCTGTCATGCAAGCCTGACACCTTTAAGTGCCATCCTCGGAACCCAACCCAATAAGGGGGTTGTGGGGAGACGCCTAGAAACTGTCCTCTGACCTCCACATGTATGTATTCCATGGCATATATACATCACTCTCACACATTATAACTTACTTAAAAATTATTCTTATTAAAAACAGGGAATGTACAACACTTTGCAATCATAAAAAAACCTGTGATATAGATCTATTTAAAAAAAATATATATACAAGGAAACCAAGGTTCAGGAGGTTAAGAAACATAAACCAAACTACAGCTGGTGAATATTGAATCACAGTGAACACTGATATTTTGTACTTCAAATGCCTGTGCTCAGCTTCCAACATGCAAATGTTCCTTTCCAGCTGTGCCTGTTGTGCCCATGGCTTCTACCCCATGCTTTCTGCACTGTTCTGCCTAGAACAGATTTATGGTATACTTTATAAACTCAAAGTCATGACTGGAGACGGGCTTTCCTGAGACAAGACGGCACACAGAACTAAACCCAGTGTGAAGAGTATATGACACAGCAAATTTCCTTTTTTTTTTAAATTGTTGTTTGGTTTGTTTTTTTGGGGACAGGGTTTCTCTGTGTAACAGTCCTAACTGTCCTGGAACTAGCTCTTGTAGACAGGTTGACCTCTAACTCACAGAGATCCGTCTGCCTCGTCTACCAAGTGCTGGGATTAAAGGTGTGCACTGCCATTCGGCAGCAAATTTCTTTATTCAAAAAACACTAGTTGTTTTCTGTCCTTCAGGTACTTTGCAGATTATATTATATTAATTTATCTTATGGTACCAACAAGATACATTATTTAAGTTTTAATAGCCATATATATTGATCTGGAAAGACTTAAATCAATTATAGAATCTCTAGTTTAGCAAAAGAATTAATTTTCAATGGTTTAGAGGAAATGAAAGATGTAGGAAGATCTGAGTAAAAGTGCTCCCAGTGCCTAGCTGAAAACAGACGTTAGTTCAATAAAAGCACAGAAAGCACACATACACAGCCATACTTCTACTCGTCAGCAGAGGAATTCCATTTTGGAAACTTGATGGAACTAACAACTACTTCAGTTAAACCAGCAAGCTAAGTATTCCCATAGCCATGGTCTTTACTCAGTATTTCCTACCACTGGTGTAAGAAGAGAAGTATCAGGAGCAGATGTTGAAGAATATCAGATTCAGCACTACCTAGAAATCCCAGGAGAACTAAGCACTCAATACTGTAGCCAGTTACAACAGTCAGCCTTTTCTCTATGGCATTATTATCCAAATTCAAAGTGCTAAGGAACATTAAAAAAGACTAGGAATCCAAGGATAAACAAAACAAGAAAGCAGTAAGGCTTATATAAAGAAAGCCAGAAAAACACTGGAGTTTACTATGGAGATTCCGGAGCAGTGCATACCAAAGCTAAAGAGGTCCATTTACGTCCACCCAATAAGCAGGTTTTGATGGGTGATGTATGTTAAAACTCTGATATCTAATATAGAGAACAGCTGTAAGGTCCAATGTCATATGGCTGTCACTGTGAAGGTAAAATATTTGAGATCACATTATCACTTAATGAACAGAAAAGTAAGAGGGCTCTGGTCTCAATCTTCCCAACAAGAACTAGGGTGTCCTGAAGAAGCTTCCCAAGGGCCACAGCACAAAACTGTACCTCAATTTCTAGTCTGTTGCTCCTTGGAATGTTCTCTTACACTAACATCTCACACAGCTGCAGAGACAACTCAGCAGCTGAGAGCTACGACTGCTCTTCCAGGGGACCCAGTTCAAGTTCCCAGCACCCACATGGTGACTCACAACCATCTGTAACTTCAGTTTTAGGGGATCTGATGCCCTCTCTGACCTCCACTGGCACTGGGCATGCACATGGATCACATATATACTCCGAGGCAAAACATTTATGCATATAAAATAAACCTAAGAAGAATCTTCCCATCCATTCATTCAGCCATCATAGATACTGCTTATGATTTATATGAAGAACCTAGACATAAGACCAGGAATAGCCCAAGTAAGCCTGAGAAATAATTAAGCAGAGGGACATTTGGAAGTAAAGCATGTATACATGTGCTCAGTGGCCAGGTACCTGCACTGGCTAAGACCCTGAGTTCAATTCCCAGCACCAGATATATGTATCTCTTTAACTGTTAGGATGCAGAAATAAACACTGGTGTGACAGGCAGTGTTAACAAAACAACAACAAAAACAAAAAAGAACACCCCCCCCCAAAACAACAAAAATCAGGCATGAAAACAAGTAGGAATAGAGAGAAAAAAAAAAAAGAGGTAAATTAGCCACGTTAAAAATAGAAGCACTTAAAAAAACCCTTGAATGAGAATGTAAAACAGACTTCACTCCAGAAAGACTAGAGAGACAAACACAGGACACAGAAAGCAGAGAACTATTAGAAGAATACAGAGCTTTTCTTCTGAGGGTGGAATGGGTGGTGGTGGTGGTGGTGGTGGTAATAAAGAACAGAGAGATTTCCAAATGGAAACCACACAGGAATTTATGTTCATTTACTAATGGAAATAGACCTGCAAGCACAGATACAAACATCTTTTCAAAGCACCCTGGAACAGCTTCTTTTGCTTTACAATCCTCCTGTGTGTGTGTAGACAGGTCTGTGTCTCACAGGCTCAGCTGGGCTGGGTGAGCAGCCATCTCCATACGGCTTTTACATGGACACCAGGACGGAAGCTCGGGGCACCATGCCGGCACAGCAAAAATCTTAGTAGCCACAACATCTCTCTAGTCCTGGTTATTCCTTTCCCACAACATCTCTCTAGTCCTGGTTATTCCTTTTCCACAACATCTCTCTAGTCCTGGTTATTCCTTTCCCACAACATCTCTCTAGTCCTGGTTATTCCTTTCCCACAACATCTCTCTAGTCCTGGTTATTCCTTTCCCACAACATCTCTCTAGTCCTGGTTATTCCTTTCCCACAACATCTCTCTAGTCCTGGTTATTCCTTTTCCACAACATCTCTCTAGTCCTGGTTATTCCTTTCCCACTCAAAATTTAATCCAGTCTTTCTTACATTCAGTAGTCACTTATTAATCATTAAGCTAAAATAATGAAAACTGGCATTTATCTACAACACTGATTATTAATCATTGGCAGATAAAATTTTTATCTTATCTTAGAAATAATCATAAATTTTAGAGCTCATGAAATCAAACATGCCATTTAATGCTATGATTTTAAAACCATCTTTTTTTAAACTATGAAACTGGAAAAAGAAATTTTAAACAATCATAACCCCAACAAAAACACAAGACAAAAGTAGAGCTGTCTAGGTTGAACCCCACAGCTCACCCACAGCTTACCCACGCCCCTGGTGGCAGTATTTTAAACATGCCTATTAAGTTTCATTCTGAGATGCTCCCATGGGCTCAAGTAAATTACCCAGCTAGTAGCCTTTTTGGGAGATAGTGAAAATTTGGAAGATGGCACTTAGTTGAAAGAAAGCTACCAAGGGCATGTTTTTCAGCATCCTTTTCCCCTCCCCTGCTTCCTGTCCACTTTAAATTGAAGAGGCTCATCTGCCCATGTGGTCCTGCTGCAAACCATGGATTCAACTCTGATACCAGGAACCAAAATTAATCTTCCCTTTCAATTTGTTCTCTTTGGTATTTGTCCCAATCACACAGAAACAGAGCTAAGGATGGCAAGGCACACTGAGTAAGCAGAGAGATGCTGGGGTCACCCCAGGACTCACATCACAGACATGGTAACTACAGTTATCACAGCAACAGCAAATGTCTATCAGGAGCAAAACAGATAATCTGAGGGCTCCATCTACTGGAGTCTTAATAACCATTCATGCAGAATGTACACAGACCTAATGATAAAGATCAAAACAAAAGCACAGACTCATAGTTATTACTTCTGGAAAAGCATACAACAAAACCCGACAGCATCACTGCTAGGGACGAGTGGGGCTAGTGAAGATTTTCCTTCTGTTTGCTGTTCTTTATTCTTTAAACTTGTTTATAGTGAGCCTGCATGACACGTGTAACCAGGAAAAAACATTTTGATATTGAGGAGGAAAACTCAAACCACAGACAAAAACGAACAATCCAGAGAAGCTGCGGAAGAGAGCCCACAATGCACATGGGTAAGACAGACAAGTGGGGTGATGTGAGAAGCGTACCTTGTCAAATGCAGTTTTTTGTTCAGGTGGGGGGAAAGCAGCTTTTTGCTCAGGTGGTTGTGTAGGAGCTGTCTTTAACTGAGCTGTGATAGCCTGAACCTGAGCCATCACAGCATTGTCAAGGGCGGGAGACTGTGGTTTTGGAGGCTGTTGAAAAGTCTGAAGGATCTGCTGCAGCTTAAAGAATGGGAAAACCGATAAACCACACAACAAAGCATCATCATCAAAGTTAATTTACTACAAAGCAAAGAATCTCAGAGGGACTGAAATAGCATAAGCAGTAAGTAAACTGGACAAAGAATCCACCTTTCACTAATGGCTAAATTTGTGAATGAACACATTACAGGGTATTGCTTACAGTTCAAATGTATGCTGACAATCCCAAAGAGACAAACAAAGCTCAAAGAAAAGAGAAAACACATGGAATTGTAACAGCGACTTTTCTAGAAATACAGAAAATGTCACTCCATATAATCAATCCGAAATACTAGAATTGTGAGCAACAACACCTGCCACTTCAACAGCTCAAGGTCTTTCAAAGAAGTACTACCATTTCCTTATTTTTCACATCCGCATTGCCTTCTTAGCTCTAACTCATCACATTAGCTCCCTAGCGAAGGATACTCTCCCATCAAGGAGCATATGAAGGAGCAATGGGAAACAGAACCAACAGAACCTAGCTCTGCAAGCCACTGGAGCATTAAGCAGCTTACCTGCTGGCCTTGGGTTGTCTGAAACAGCTGAGCCACAGCAGCAAAGGCATCAGAGCTCGGCAACTGTGGTAAAGTAGGCATGGAGTTTGTGGAAGCTTGTGCAAGTTCAGAAGAGGCTTTTACTGGGGGTGGAGGTGAGCCTAAAAAGCAAAGTGCATTAGGCCGCAAAAAAACTAACCAACCAACCAAACAAGAACTAAAGTCAACACCCTCCCCCCACCCCTGGTTTAAAACACCTTTCAAGTTTTGCTGCTAAAACAAAATTCCGTTCAGTTTAACTTGTCGTTAGTACAGTAGGGGTGTGTGTGCACATTCTCGTTTGAAAAAAAGAATTATAGGAAGAAAAACTACCTTCCAAATGCAAACTCAAGTTTCCTTCCTATGGGAAAGGTCTATCAATTCAGAAATTTCATGTACAGAAACTCAATTCTTTTTAAAGTTTTCTTTTGTTAAAAAAAAAAAATCAAGCTTTTTTATACAATATAGTCTAATTATGGTTTTCCTTCCAACTCCTCCTAGATCTTCCCCACCTCCACTCTCTGAATTCACACTCCTTTTTGTCTCTCACTAGAAAACAAACAGGCATATAAAGAATAAAATAAAATATGATAAAAACAAAAACCAACCAACCACAATAGGACAAAACAAACAGAAGGAAAAGAGCCAAGACACCAGTGCACTTTCAGGAACTTTTCTTCTAGTCAGACACACCACTGTACCTTCATTGTTGGTAACATTTTCTGCTACTGGAACAGCATTACTGGCTCCTGCTGCCATGTCCAAAAGAGGCTGAATAATTTCAATTTTGAATACTCCATTTTTTTGCCAAAGATTTAGCACACGAACTATTTTACTCTGTTATATGCAAGAAAATGAACATACAATAAATATTTATAGAAAAAGCTTATCATATCTGACTGTAAAGAGAAACCATTACTGTTTCATCAGCAAAAAAAAAATCCAGGGCTGGAGAGATGGCTCAGTGGTTAAGAGCATTGCCTGCTCTTCCAAAGGACCTGAGTTCAATTCCCGGCAACCACATGGTGGTTCACAACCATCTGTAATGGGGTCTGCTGGCCTCTTCTGGCCTGCAGACATGCACACAGACAGAATATTGTATACATAATAAATAAATAAATATTTAAAAAAAAATCCATCGGAATCACTCCCCAGTTAAGGAACTCAGATTAACCTTTCCTCCATGGTATACTCTGAAGAAAGAAACACAGACTACACACAGAGCAAATAAAAAAAACAGACACTATTTGATAGCACTGTTCTTTACAAGAGTTACAAAGGAGAACACTGACAAAACTCAATCATCTTAGAAAAGTTCATGAAGTGAAAATTTTCTGCAGGATGACCAAGTTAGTCTCATTTAAGAGACTAACTGCATATGGTCACACATGCTTGTGATGCCAGCACTCAAAAAAGGAAGACTACAAATTTGAGGCCCAACACCACAGCACCAAAAACAATGAAAACAAACCAGTTTTTAAGAAAGTGGCTGATAACAAGAAAAAGATGTTTTATGGCCAAGAAAATATGAAGGAGATACAAAATTTTCTTATTCATGGGTACAGGTTTTAACTCCTATTCAAAGGGATCTTTTTATAAAATTATGCTTCAAGAGCCTAAGAATATACACACAGACTCTTAATACCCACAGTGTTCCTCTTTATGTAAACTGTCTCCATTTTCATTACTGAGTATTGTACTCAGGATTTCACGCTGAGAAAGTGGGCCACAGTAATGGCAGACAAAAAAGATGCCTCAGAAAAGGCTGTTTCCTAACTAAACCTGCATGCCTGCTGGCCTTTACCTTAGGGTTTTCTTTGAGTCTCAAGTCTAACAGAGGAACATGAGAGAGGAAGTAAGCATTCTTTCTCTGTTTTGATCAAACTTAAATTCACATTTCCTTCTGCTTCATATTTTCTTTCAGAATTCAGGGAAGCTAAAGCATGAGGTTATGTGAGTACTCAATAAAACTGCTGCAATTCCCACCTATTCAGAGCACTTATGTGTAACTGTCAATATTCCTTCTTTCTACAGTTCACTGTGAAACCGCACACGCGCGCAGTCTTACTGCAGATTAATATCACTTACATTCCTGCATGTTGGGAAGAACAATTCTGGGCCTTCTAGAAAAAGTAGCAAACTGGGAGGAGTATTCTCTCCACTACAGGGCTTACCATTCCTAGCAGATCTTCCTGCAGCCACCTGCTAAGCGCTTCGGATCAATGGTATGTGACACCCTGCACAGCTAGTGATATTGTCTTTAAAGACAGTGCTTTCTGCACAAACCCTTTGGTTTCTTTACACTATGGTAAGAACATTCAACACTAACAACACCTTCTCCAGTAATGTGCAGTGTTTGGCAGATCTCAGAACTTTACCTTGCCTAACCAAAACTTCAGACCTACCACTAAACCAACTAACTCTTCACACCACACTTCCAGCAATTACTGCTTTTCTCAGATTCTGCAATTCAACATGAGAAAAGTCCTTGTGCAAAGACCATGTGAATGTGCCATTTCACAAGGAAGCTAGACTAGGAAATGACCACTGCAGAGAAATTAAACTTAAGACTCAAGAATTTACTACATGAAGATATTTTCATATAATACAACAGGCTTTAAATAACATGAATCTAAACACATAAAAATAAAATAAATCCAACAAGAATGCAAAATTTTAGAAGTGATTAACCATACCTTATCTTCAGATGGACAAAGATATAAATATTGGAATGTAGCAGTTATATTTTTAGAGAATCTTGGCCCAAAAACATCTTTATCAGTTCCAAACTGATGACGAGACTGTCTCACAATGGAATCAATGACATATAATCCTGGAACCTTGTATTCTGGCTTACACTGCAACGATAAAGGTACACAGTTAGTCTAAGGAAAGGAAAACCAGTGAGTGTGGTAGCGCACACCTTTAATTCCAGCACCCCAGAGGCAGAGACAGGAGGGATCTAGGAGACTCAGTGTGCTCCACTTTAGTGAGTTCTAGGCCATCCAGAGCTCCAAAGCAGAACTCTGTCTCCCCACCTCCCTAAAGGGAGACCCAAAATAAATCTGACACCCATTATCTCACAAGTATGCAGCTCCATACACCCATCATCTACTGCGTAGAAACTACTTAAGTGTTCCACCACCTAACTAGCTGTCAAACTTCAAGTCTAGGGACAGTTTACATTCTTTGCTAACTCAGACTCCAAGGACTTGCCCCCAGATCCTTGACTTCCTCTCTTCCTCTCCAAAACTTTCCAGAGGCCATTACCATCCCACTTTCCTACAAAATGAGTTATTATTAATGAATCTCTGATTCAATGATTTCCACCTTTTGAAATTACTAAAAAAATACTTTAAACATGTTAGGTTTACCAGAGAAATAAAAAGTAAAAGGAGCTGGGCAGAGAGGCACACGCCTTTAATCCCAGCACTCGGATCTCTGTGAGTTTGAGGTCAGCCTGGTCTACAAGAGCTAATTCCAGGACAGGCTCCAAAGCTACAGAGAAACCCAGTCTCAAAAAACAAAAACAAAACAAAAAAAGTAAAAGGGTCATTTGAGTCTATAAACTGGACGAAGGAAAAACAAAACACTACAGGCATTTCTGTAGGAAAAGGTATAGCCCTTTGGGAAGAAAATTCAGCAACAAAAATAAAGCCTTCTTTGACGGTTAAAAATTTATGCTAAGGAAAACATGTATGTATGTTTTCCTTTAAGGTTAGCTATTGAAGCACTTTCAATGAAAAATAACTATTTACTAGATAAGTAAATCAGTAATAATCAACCAGAGGGTTATTTTGTAGATGTTTATAATATATTCAGTAGGAAAGGCACGTCAACAACCAGTACTGTGTCCATTTTCCTTACAAATGCACACACATAAATAAAACCTAGGCAGACTCAGACACACACTAGTAACTGGAAACCAAAGCACACATGTAATCAAATGTTCTCCCCATTTACTTCTTTGCACTTTGACCTGCCGCGCCAAGAAGCTTCTAACTGACAAAGCCAGCTACTCTGCATTTCATGACCCCAAGGTAGATCAACTGATTAAGATGACTGAAATCATTCCCAGATGCTACTGAGAAAGATTTGCTAATTAGATACACTTTAAGACAAGACACAACCATGTAACTAAAAAAGTTTAATGTGATGGCAACAGGGAAAAGTCAGGGGAAAAAAGTAACTTCATTAAATTAAAAAATTAAATTAAAAAAAGTAATTAAAAAGTAACTTCATCTGAAAAACTCACAGGAGAATTAAATGTCAACAGAGTGGATAGGCCAAAAGATATGAAACAGCCAGGCCCTTAGGCTTGGGGAAAGGTCCCAACACCAAGACAACAAATTCTGTCGCCAGGTATGACAGAAGCTGAGTGCCAAGCTTTTCTACAATATTCAACGAATGGGAGTAATATGAAAAAATACCTTATAAAACTTCCGTGTTTAAAAAATTCAATTACTCGCGGGGCGGTGGTGGCGCACGCCTTTAATCCCAGCACTCGGGAGGCAGAGGCAGGCGGATCTCTGGGAGTTCGAGGCCAGCCTGGTCTACAAGCGCTAGTTCCAGGACAGGCTCCAAAGCCACAGAGAAACCCTGTCTCGAAAAAACAAAAAAAAAAAAAATTTTTTTTTCAATTACTATTTTTTTTAAAATATTATGGATACGAGAGTACCATGTACATGTCTGGGGCTTGAAGAGGCCAAAAGAATGCATAGGACTCCCTGAAACTGGAATTATGGAAGAGTGTGAGCACCCATGTGGGTGTTAGGAGAGAACCCAGGTCCTCTGGAAGAGCTTTCAGTAGTCTTAGCTTGTTGAGCCATGGCTCCAACCCCAGTAACTACTTTTTTCTAGAGTGTTTTTAGGAGCACACATCCAATTTCAATCCACACAATATGTGAATATATATCATAAATGAACATGGTAATAATGATATAGTTACCTTTTTGATGAATTTCTCTACTATCTGAACAACATGCTTGTAAAGCTGAAAAAGAAGGGGAAACCACAGCCAGGTTATATATACATTTCTACATCTCCAGCTAGTGAGAGCACTCGAATCCTTAAAAATTTTAATTTAAAAATTTAGCAATTAACTCAAAGAGTCATTAGAAATAGTTCAAAATCAACAACAGCAAAAAAAAAAAAAACCTTGAGAAAGGAATTAATCAAAACAGAAACATACTCCATTCCAAAGAGAATGAATGAACTTTCTTAATTGACCAACCTTCCTGAAGCAAAGTACCTTGTTACCGCCACATGAGTAAAACATTTCTAAACTGCCATTTACTAAAATGTCATCTTGGGTAACTAACTTACTTCATTTCCCAAAGCCCACATTTTGACTTTTCTCACAGCTGCTTTGTAAGGACTAAAATAGTATAGTCACAAAGCTCCGGCAAAAGTTAATTCATGAGATAAATTCTGATGTTAAGAATATTTTAAACAATTCAAAATCGAAGCTGGCAAGATGGCTGAGTGGGTGTGGTGTTTGTCACAGAAAATTAAGCTGGATCCCTGAAACCCATATCAAGGTGGAAGAGGAGAATGGGCTTCACAAAGCACCTCACTTGGCATGCCCCTCACCCCTGCCAATAATAAACACTTAGAAAGTATTTCCAAATTAAATATTCTTACCTTAATAGCTTTAATAGCAGCTTTAGTAATCAAAATCATTTTGGCTCTAGAGATGGGAGGTTTCATGTCCATCAGTGAAAAAAGCTTAAAAAACAAGAAATAAAGGTCAATCCAGGGGTCAATCCCCCATTTTACAAAGATATTTATACCCACTGGCCTTTGTCACTACAATTTGTCACTCTGGCTACACGTCCAACATCAGCAACTTTTCTATACACTATTCACCACATAGAAAAGAAGAAAAGTATGAATATAAAGGCAAAAACATTTAAAAAGTTACAAAACTAGTCTTTCAAAAAACCCAAAAAATCGTGAAGGGAAACAACACATCTCCTCTGGACGGAGTCTGGCAGTAGTGTGATTTTATCAATATTTAGTGTATTTTCAATTCCAAATCTTTATTGAGACTTTGAAGGACTTTCAATAACCTTAAGGTCATTCAGACAAACACGTAAAAAGTCAAGTAACAGATTTAAAACGCCATTATAAAAGATCCAAGTATCTGTGATGCTAGTGTGAGAATTAAAACTTCATATGAAACCTGGCCCAGCACTCATAGTCAGACTGTTTACAGCAATCAGGTAACCTCTTGATCCCCAAACACGCACTGATCTTCCCCCCAAATTAAATTTCTATACATTCAATAAATTAAATTCAACTAAAATGTTAATAATCAGAGTCCGAAAGGGTTATAAATATAAACCCTGAGATTAAGCAGTTTAAGATCTGAGGAAATGAGGCCTGGGTATGACAGCAAACCTTTAATCTCCTAGATACTCGGGAGGCAGAGGTAGACAGACCTCCGTGAGCTCCAGGTCAGCCAAGGATAGAGTTCCCATGTCTGGGAAGATTTTTTTGCAGCACAAAGACTGAGTAACCTCAAAGAAGCCGAAAGACATGAGAGGTTGTCCTCTCTACACACAAGTCCACACGCACTCACTCACACACTCTTTAGGTAACAACATTCACTTCAAGAGCGGTCTAATGACTGTCAAGCACATTTCAGGGTTTTGTGAGCAGCATCAACCTCCCGTGAGCTATCTCCATTTCCTTCTAGCTAACATTAATGTTTCAAGTGTGTATGTGCTACTCATACCACACTGACTAGACATAAACACCAGTCTAAGAAACAAGTCTATTCCTAGGGTAAGCAGCCCTACCTGGCAGCGTGTCCTAAAAACTCACTATTTCATAGCTCTTTAAACTGGGGATAGCGAGTACCTACATATAGAAAAAGCATGGGATGCTAGATATAGCTAATATAGGATTCAGATACTCTAAGCAGAAAAGGCTAGACAATTTCTATACATGTTAAGAAAATGGGAGAAATAACTTAAGATTTCACATACAAATTCATTTTCTGAAGAGACTTTAAAAAAAAAAAAGGACTCACAACAGTCTCTAACTCTAGCCACAGGGGATCCAGTCCCCTCTACTGGCTGTGTGCATGCGCAAACAAACTCCCCCATCCTCTGTCTCAAAAATGTTCTCCTTGAGAATAACACTAAATGGAAAGTAGAAAGCACACAGTAATGAGCGAAGCTAATCAAATCAGTGAACAACGACAAATTTAAGTATTTCAACTTAAAAACTCTAAAACTGATTCATAAACGTATAGCACACATTTACTATTCCTCCCATCTATGTAACTGAAAACAGAGAAAGGGCTGCAGAAAAGTTCATACGTGAATCTCACTGCACATGTTGAGTCTTGTCAACAGTAAGCAAGTCACTGTTTTCTTTTAAAATAAAGCCCAATGAGTGTACAAGACTGCTACTTCGTCCAAGCAAAAACAAACCATCACTAATCATTTTAAAGATAAAAGATATACCAACAGTCAACATTTGGGCAAATGAGTAACAAGAGGTACCTAAGGAAGAAAAGCATTACTTCCATATCTAGCATGCATAAGGTAGCAGGGTGACCTCACTGCCTTTAAGATCTGTTTTCACATGACTCTTATTAGAAAGGTTCCACATTTTAGGTGATGCCCAAGAAGTGAATCTGAACTGAAGTAGTCAAATCTAGTCTTTTCTGAAGTCAACACTTCCTAATGGTGCATCTAATGCTGTTTATCAACTACATTTATGCACAGAGCACTGACCATGATAGGGAGTTCAAGAAACAAAAAATCCCAAGCCAAGCAGGCATATTCTCCTCCCTGAATGTTGCATTCATTTGACAATGAAAGAGAATGTGGTCTGTGCACTCAACAGCCAGAAGATGTGCAAACGGATCTTTAACACAATACTAACAGGTCCATGTCTGAAACAAGTATCTTCCAAAGAAAGCCAAAGAATTTGTGCTAAAAGGAAACCCAGAGTCTATTGAAAGTTAAGAAATACAACAAAGTACAACGAGCTGCACAAAGGAACATCAGAGCAAAGTGAAATCTTAAAACTCAAAAAAGCACCTAGCACTATCAGAAGATACTCTGAGGCTAAGAACACAAACCAAACCTTGTTCTTTCATATAGGACATGAAGCTTTTGTTCATTTGTGTGCATTTTTATGTGACACGAATAAGGTGTGAGCACGTCATGGTACATGTGGTGGTGGGGAAGGGGGGTCCGACAACAGAGGACTTTAGGTAGTCAGTTTTCTCTTTCCACTTTTGATACCAGGGACAGATTCATGTTTTCTAAAGCCTTTAAATAGCCCTTGCCCACTGAGTTACCTTGCAGACCCCAGACACGAGTTTTTCAGTCATAAGGATTGTATGTAAGCAGAAACGTATTGGGGAGTTAATTTTTCACTCAAAAGTTCAAACACTACTGAACTCAGCATAGAGAGAAGCAGCAGGACCATATTCAGAACTATTTATTTAGAGACAAGATATCACTGTGTATCCCTGGTTGATGTGGATTCAATGAGTAGACCAAGTTAGCTTTGAAATTAGAGGCCCACCTGCCTTTGCCTCTCAGTGCTGGCTGGGATCAAAGTGTGTGCATCATGCCTAGCTTATACTGTAAACTGTTAAGCAGAAGGTTCCCAGGGACCTTGAGTCTGTTTTAACAACTCTCCTTGAGTCTTAAGAGTTATGAATTTGAATTTGATGTTAATTGGAGGAAGAACACTTTAGGAATGCTTCAAAATTGGAGATTTAAAGGTTAGTTTATTATCAATTCAACTCCTAAATGGATCTACCTAAAATTGTCCTTAATAGTCGCCTTTTTTCTTTTCCCGGTATTTATGTCCACCCTTCCTCACATGTACCAATCTCGATTTTGTTTTCTTTAATTAAAATCAATTATGCCAAGCCCAATACAAAAGTCCATGATGCCTGTTACTTGAAAAGCTAAGGAAGAGGTTACAAGTTCAAGGCCGGCCTTAGTGGGAGCTTGTCTCAAAACAGGAAGTGGATAAAAATAAGTAACAAATTGTTAATCTATTTTCTATTTACAATAAGTTTCTCATATCTAAAGTAAATGACTAATTACTTAGTCCTTCCTCTCCTCATCTAGAGCCAAGTTGCAATTTAATAATCTTAAACAAAAAATTTGTCAGGGTCACCAGTATTGCCTGAGGAATCTCTCAGATTTAAAAAGGCTGGCCTTGTGACAATCCCCAACTTTGATTACAGCTCCTGACTTTTCATAATTTGTTATTCTCGGTCAGAACAGAGATCCAATAATCAACTAACAGCCCACGAAGTTCGGCTAATGCTGAGAAAGGAAATCATGCCAGGCTCTGCTTACTTAAGAAAAGTTAAGTGTGGAATGTAAATATCAAATCATTAATGCAGTGGAAAGCAGATGCTCAGGAGGTCAGCTTACTACCAGGACACCTTGGAACCAGTTCAGAGTACTGCGCTGCGTTCCAAACTACAGGCTCAAGTCACAACTAATGCACTTAATGCACGTATCCGGTGTCACTGGCTCCGCACTAAGGTCCCTTATAGAAAATGGCATAGATGCTGCATTTTCTCTGGTGTACTTTCAAGCATTTCTAGACCACTTATACTATCTAATACATAGCAAGTACTATGTAAAAACAACTGTTAAGGCGCATTATTTAGGGAATAATGACAAGAGAAAAAGAAGCCTGTCTTACAAATGAGATACGAGATCAACACCGTTCAAGCACATGGTGGTGGGATGGGAGATTCTCAAACACTGAGCAGCCTGAGCAGGCTGCCTGCACACCACCACTCAGGAGTCCCAGCACTGCCCAACACACAGCCAAGAGAAGCCTCACCCTCTGGAACAGTTCCAGGATTTTAAAGGCAAAACTAATTAACTTTGAGGTAGTACTGAGTCAAATGTACCTGTTTCACAAAATCTGCACTTTTGCTTATGGGCACTTAACACATAACTCTAAGAGTAAATTATAAGTCTTCCTGTGGACTGTGGTTAAAAAATAGGAAAGCACTGATGGGGAGGCACTTTAAAATGAGAAAAATAAAGCCTAAATGTTAAAATGGAGGGGAGAAAAGAAACTCAAGACTGGTTATTTCTAACCAATATTCAGTCTTGGCAAACAAACCTCAAGGGCAAAACAAAAAAGAACCGATTTAAAACACAAAGCGTGAAAATCATAAAATTGTTAATCCAACATTGTCTAATATGGAAAAACACCAGACACTGAGGGACTAAGAGTTAGAAGACTGGACTCTAAATCTGTAGTCTGTACTGCTACCTGTGAGCAGTGAGTGTTCAGACCATTTGGTACAGCTCCCCGCCCCCCCAACAGGCCTGCATTTCCATTCATTTATCAATAGGAAAAGTCCACCATGAAGAAGGGTGAGGAGCCATGAACTCCTCTTACACTGATAACAGCAGACCTCAAAAGCACCAGGATGAGGAGGTTCCTTCTCTTTCCTAATGTTCGTTTGCACCAACCAGCCTGAGTTACTCTTTGTTCCATCAGCTGTTAGGAAAGGCTACCTGTGACATGGTCCTCTCTCATGCTAGCCTGAGACACAAAGACTACTACTCCTCAGCCTCATTCCTTGCCCTGCCTGGTAAATAGACTTAGGACAAAGAACACAAGAACTTAGACTATGCTTCTTTTGGAATTCATTCACACTTGTGGATCAGATAAAGCAAATGGCATTCTACTAACCGCACAAACCTTGGCAAATG